TGTTGTTGTTGTTGTTGTTGTTGTTGTTGTTGTTGTTGTTGTTGTTTTTGCTCGTCTTGTGGCTTGGCCATTTTGTGGGCCGCCTCCGAAACGGTCCCAAGAGGCGCCTTCGGCCCTTTTGAGGCGCCCCAAATCAGCCGGGACCCAAAGCAAGAAGTCTCAGGACCTTGATCGCCACAACCCAGTGGGCACCGAGGTCTCCGAAGATCGCTTTTACAATCAACTCTCCTTGGTGCTCGATCCTGCCGAACGTGTGATGCTTTGGATCCGTCGGGAAATACTTTGGGTTGACTCAGCGTTTGGCACTGAGGAAGCCTCACGCGCAAGTTCACGCAGAGTTCGACCATGTCCATCAATCGCCGCATGGCATGGTTTCAGGAGCTGCATGGCGTGGGTGGGTGGGTGATGGTAATTGTGGACTCTAGATTCTAAGTGGCTGATATTGATAACACCTCCCCCATTTGGATGCAACCTTTTCACATGAGCGGTTGAAATACCATCCAAGAGTCTTTGAGCCAGCGTTCGGCGTCGAGACGGAAGACCATGTGAAACATGAGCCTGTTCAATACACTGTGACAGGATCATGAACTGTGGAACCCCTATCCTGGCACGCAGTCTGCAAGCCATGTAAGCTCTTCGCTTTGAGCATCCACTGAGGAAATGCCTCATCTGCATCCATGGAGACAGATGAGGAGGAAGAGCCTTTGCATTTCTTGGAGTTCAAGGTGCGTTGGGCTCCGAATGGGACGATTTCCAGCGGGCTCCGAGTCGACAGGGCTCGACGAATCCAAGCGTGGTGTCCAATGAATTTCGGGCCAGCTGCTGCACATCTACACCTGGGAAAGAGACCCACACGGAACCTGAGAATAATTCTTTGGAAGACGTTTTTCCCCTACAATCCAGTGGTTTTCAGATTCCATGTGGGTCTCTTCCAGGGCGTATCATCCATGATCCCTTTTTCAGAGAATTTGCGCCCTGAAAGTCCACGAAGACATGACCTTTGACCTGCAGTGGCTCCGGAGCGGCACAGAATTCAAGTTTTCAGACATTTTCAGGTTCTTGCATGAGTTGTATTGTTCCATCTTGTTTCCAATGTCATAGAACAAATTCCAAAGCAACAAACACTCATTACATCTCATTACAGGATGGACATGTAGCTTTTTTTACCCTTAAGCCATCTCAAGCCTCACAGATCTACCGAAACCAACTGCGTCACATGTGTCACGAAGTCTGTCGGCCAGGAACGGGTCTTGTCCGAGGAGATGGTGAAGACCAAGCGGGGAAGCTGAGGAGATCGATTCGTAACCATTTTGGTTTGCGCCTTTACCACAATTTTTACACCTCTCGGTGGTGCCATCCCGGGCTAGAAACCGGCAAGGAGGGGGTTGGAGGGAGGGTCGAGTGAACCTAGCAAATTGAGAAGTTGGCAGAGGAGATGAGGTACAATACATCGATTTTGGTCACAAGTGTCAACGCACAGAGTTGCAATGAGTGACCGTCAAGTTTATGGATGGGACATTCTTGGATGTTTCACTGTTTGGCCACGATCTCTCTAAGAGATTTCCTACTTCAGCCAGTTTCAGGAGGAATTTGTTACAGTAGCTTCTAGCTACTATACTGAGTAATGCTCTTTGCTACTATAGTAGCTCCTTGTTCCTAGTGGTAATGCCCTTATTGTTACGAGTTGCCTCTCGTTCCTGCCGACCGGACCGGAGACAGCTCACCGGAGCAGAGCAGCGCCGGGTCCGACGCGAGGCTCTTCGATGCTTGCCGCTCGCAACTGGGCAAAGGCACCACGATGAAGAACATCGGCAGGCGGGAACACCGGACGGAAGATGGATGAACTAGGATGAACTAAGGATGAAATGATAATGGATCACACATGAGAAGGATAACCACCATAGGGGATTAGGGTTTGGGTGATCCATTGATGCAATGAGTGATGCATTTTTTTTTTATGAATCACAAGTGATAAGGATACTCGATGATAACCACCATATCTGGGGATGGATTAGGAATGGGTTTTGGGATGACCGGACATGGATAAGGACACATGATATGGATGCGTTTTCCTTTGTGTCGCTCTGAATCCACCCCATCCGTGGGATCCGATTCCGGCGGGGAGCTGACCTGACTCTTCAAAACACATGGACGAGTCTCATGGACATACGGCTGTCCAATAAAGGTGTGGGAATGAATGATTTCGGGGTCAGGCTGTTTGATACCTGTATAATCCTGTATATATAAATTGGTTATTCCATGTTATTCCCTCCATGTCCCTCGCACTGGACGATTTGGGATTGAACCTTTGCTAATCAGTGGTCAGGTTCATAGGTCATTGTCGTGGCCAACCCTATCGTTCAACGCTTTTGACAGGCGGCACGTGGAGGACGGGTGGGGAATTGACGCACGGGATGGAACCGTGCAGAGTGGCTGGGCCAAAACCTTTGGGATCAATTCTGTTAAAGGTGTTGAGCACGCATTCGCATGTCCGTAGTGGAATCAAGCAAAACTCATTTTTAGTTTTGTGTTAGGGAGCTGTGTGCCTTTTCAGCGGGTTCAGTTTTGGTATTCATCACAGGTATAGCTCCGTTTCAACATGATGTAGCCAATGCGAGTAGTTACTATAGTTTCTTTCTTCCTGCACCATCCAGGGATCATAGGAATCTTCTCGTCCGGATGTTGTAGTAGACTGCGGGTGACCGGTTGATGTCGCGATGCATAAAGAACCCATTTCGATGGCAGTCACGGAAAGATTGTTCAGGAGCAATGATGCCTCAGGCTAAAGTGGCTAAAGGATGCCTTGGGACAATAACCACCAACAACTCATTTGGGAAAGAAAGATGTTCCAACACCGTTTTCCTGCCCCTTCCTCCTTGGAACGTCTCATCGCCATGTCGCTCTTACCTTCCGGGCCGACTGACTGGTGTCAGGACGTGGGCGTCAAAGTCGCGCTGATGGCGGGGAAGCTCAAGAGATGCCGATCCACGGCGTCCGCAGTGCACGTCCAGCAACACCTGCATGGATGGATGAAGGGTTATGAAGGGATGAAGGGACTTCCCATCGGATGGTCCCGGGCGTTTTCAGATGGTTTTGGAACCTGCCTTTTTTATCCTTTTTTCGCACATCATAACGCCATTGTTTGGGCACTCTTCCAGTATTGATTTTTAGGTGCCAGCCATAGAGACTTCATGAGACTTCTGCTATCGAATGCCATTTAGTTTCCCATCTGCACTACATCCACCCGCAAAGATATGGATGTGGAACCCCAAAGGCTGCTGGTTATAGCGGCGGTTTTCACTACTCCTGCAAGATGTTACTAACTTGATTTGAGGGATATATTCTACTATATGTAAAAAATGGTCGCACTTGAGTCTCCCATTCTCCCTTCAGCGATCTTACTTTGATAGACATTGAATGATGTTGATAGGATAGAATGTTTCAAGTTTGAGTCTCTTCCAAGAGTACTTGTCAATATCCTATGCGTACCAGCCAGCCATGATACATGCAAAGCTGCTTCAACTTGTACTGTATAACCCCCCCCAACACCAAAAAAAAAAAAAAAAAAAACGTTCTTCGAGGTCATCATCCTTCTCCTGATCCTGAGCTTCCTCTTGCCGAGCACGCACGACCTGTCCTTCCAGCTTGTGTGCCTCGGATGGAGCTGGGTGGATGGATGTCCCTCTCACCTTGCGGCAGCCAAAAGGCAAGAAGCCATCCGTTAGTACGGCATCCGGTGTAAGCCATCCGTTAGTTTCATGTGATGTTCTCTTGATGATTTTTTTTTTTCGGTGTAAGCCACCTGATCCGCAAGTCTCTCTATATGTCCTTGGTCTGGATGGTGGGCGCTGCGAATCTACGCCATGAAGGAGTAAAAGCCAAGGGACTACCAGTCCAGCTGGGCAGAGGGGCTAGCTGCCGACAAAGGCTCCAGAGTCAGATTTCCAACGGCTAGATGATCCGTCCACCTTTTTTTCTGTGATCTCAAGGTTGGAGATGCTATAGTTGCCTAGCTGTTTTGGGATTGCCCAAGACACAACTCCTTCTCTCACGTGCAGGCTGAGCCAGCTAGACTTGGAGGCGCAAATTGCATGATTTTGGCCAATCTTGCGATCATTTCTGATCATTTGTCGAGAGCGAGAGAGAGAGAGTGGAACCGTTCGGCTTCATGCTTCGGGATGTGGTGTAAAAGTCGTCGGGAAATCAACTCTGACTAGCAGCAAAAGTTCGGGTGAATTATGGGATATGGTGTATATGTATATGGTCAGGTGCAGGTCTATAGACCACCCGAACTCGGGTGCTGGGTTGCCGATCTGATCACGACAGGCGCGGCATTTCTATAGCAACGAGACCAGTCCCGACGTGCCACAGGAGCCCGACAAAAGACTGCAGTTCTCAGTTCTTCAGCGAAGGGCAGAAATGGCATAGTAAAAGTTTGCCTGTCCCCTAGTTTGTAGTTGCCTTTCACACTGTAAGGGCCACCCGCCAGCATCCCGATCTTCTCATCGCAGCTCTGAAAATTGGGTCATGTATTCTTCCTCGCTCTGAGGAAGCTTCAACTTTTGATGTGAAACCATTCTTCTTTGAGCTAAAAAGGCACGTTGGATCCTTGGTGTTTGGACGCCCAGACGCTCCTGACCGACTTGCACCTAGCTTGCAATGAGAGTGGCCGTGTTTCCAAAAACTCTATTGTGGTACATGCCACGTGCTGTCCACACTCGACTCTCCAAGCCCAAGTCAGGATGCACGGTTGTTGTTTGTGTGTTCTTTTCTGGTCGGCGTCGGCGTTGGTGTTCGGCTTCAAGAGACCTCCTGTGAACTCAAAGTTCAGTCGGTTGAGTGTACAAGATCATGGCTTTGCTCTTGAATTCAATTCACAACATGACCCGTGGTCGGATACGTCACTGTGAGACATCGGAGAAGGATCGAGAAGGCCGAGGCTCGGCCTTCCCCATGGAAGGAACGGCGCAGACAAAGGGTCTACGCCCACGCATCCCAAAGTGCAGGTAAATACCATAGAAAACCAGAACAGTCAAGACACTGTCAATCAGCATTCATCAGTTTTTCATAAGCTCACGGTGAAAAGATCTATGGCATAGATATGCTGTAGTAAAAACATGTGTTTTTCGCACTGCTAGCAGCTATAGCAGTGTGTCTTATTTAAAGACTTGTGCTAACGAATTGGAGCAGCTTAGAGGGGTGAGTTCTCCAAAGATGGGGACTTGATGGCGCTCTTGGTGTGTGAAACCAAAGGTTGCTCATGCAATAGACATGAGTATAATATATATAGAGAGAGAGAAGAAATAGGACAATGAGTATAGGTCCCACAAGTAAGGAGGAGACTGAGCTTGAGGCAACCGACTTGGCTTTTTGAAGAAGACCCGGTCCGCAGTGCCGACCGACGGGTTGTGTGCGGTCTGGACTCCTCTGGAGAGGTTAGAATCCCTAATTCTATAGGATTCGCTGTGGGCTGTGGGATGTGCGATCTCGTGACCAGACTTGGGCAGGACCTGTTAGAGCACTACCTCATTTGGCAGGCTGAGATCGAAAGGGGAAAGGGGAAGCGGTCTGAGAGACTTACAGCAACACCCACGTGTATAGACATAGAGGAAGTGGTGCTTCAAAAGCGATATGAGTGTGCTGAAGTGAAGGCATTCAATGCTGGCTACACCAGCTTCTTAGAGCTGACTCAAGGGTTGACTCCATCACCTCCTTTGGACATCCTGATGGCAACAACCCCTAGTTGAGAATGATGAGAAGATGCGTCGAACATTAGCCCAACTTCGACCTTTGACTTGTCCCCCCTTTCTTTGGCCGCGATGGCGAATATTGGCGAACCGCCATTGATGTGCTTGATCTTTGGGTGCCTTTGGCGCCCTCGCGCAAGCATGCACCACAGCGTTTTCTTCTTTTTGTCAGTTGCCAGGGCGGGCTGTCACGGAACAACCTGCGGCCGCGGATGCTCTACTTGGATTTAAACAAACGCGTGCTTTGCGACGAGATGCAAGGCGCGGGCCAAGCGATGTGTCACTGTGAGTGAATGGGATCCGGACCCCTGTCAAAAACACAAATGACAAGGTTTCACACTCCAAATGGGGTTGGTTGGGGTGGTTGAAGTTGATTGTTTAAATATGAATGTTTATGAATCAACCACATCTAATATATCATAATATATCTAATAAACCTGGTAGTGAAGGGAGGAACCCGCTGACCCCATTTTCAATGATCGCAGACACTTTCGCTCTCCGGTGGGACTTGGCTCCTGACTCAAAGGGAGCCGAAGAGGAGCCTTTTGAGGCGACGGCCTTCTCCCTCTCTCCCTTTCTCGCTCTCTCTATACCCCGAGAGAGAGACAGAGAGAGAGAGAGAGAGAAGAGAGAGAGAGAGAGAGAGAGAAGAGAGAGAGAGAGAGAGACAGAAAGAATGGAATGAATGAATGGATTTCATATATACGGAGAATATGAATGGGTATCTCTCATCCCTCTCTCTCGTATATATGGGAAATCCATCCATCCGCGTCGCTCTCCTTCGCATGCCGACGGATGCCGCATCGGCCAGGTATGAACCCTTGGAAATGTCGGGGGTCCAAGTGAGGATTTTTCTCCGAGTCTCCAGGGGTTGGATAGCAGCAAGTCCCAGCTTCATCGGAGTTTTGGTGCGACGAATCACGAACTTGTTTAACTCATTTGAGGCATCACTTGAGTTGTATAGTAAGGAATGCTTGCACACGAGTCACTCGATGCGTTGATATACTGTATAGAACAAAACGCGTTCGCTTGGTGAAGATTTGGGAGTTCGGAGTTCGGTGCAAAGAACAATCTCCAAGTGCATGAGACCCCCTTTGGATGTTGCTTCTTGGATGCTTTAGACATCTTTGGGCCAGACTTTGGCGCCCAAAGGTGGTTGAAATAGGATGAACTATATTTGAACTATTATGCTAAATATTTTGGATCACCCCCAGGACAAGTACCGGAAGGCTCAGATGAAATGCTCAGAAACAATTAACTGGGTCCGAACGATGGGACATATACCACTATCATATGCACAGATTTTAAGAGCCTTCAATAGCACATGTTCCTTCAGAGGCCGTTCTAAGAAACTGGTCCCTGCACCCAAGGACTGATTTTTCATGCAGATTATGTATTTGCTCTTGCAGACTCCTCCTTTACCTGGTTTGACCTGATCCGGTCATGCTTGACATCATCGACCTCTTCTGAAGGCTAGACATGGCTAAGCACCATCAAAATGCCTCAAGCAGGCCCAGTTGCCTGTTTGGCACCTCGAACCCAGGTAGCGAGATCATTGCCGAGGGCACCGTACCCTGGCTGCCGCGAGAGAGCCTCACGCGGATCGACGAATTCCTCGAAGTCTCCCCGTATAGGCGGGGGTGGTTGGAAGAGCGCCCTTTGAAAAAAGATAAAAACAGACTTAAACAGTTGATAGACCATGTGCATTTGGCATGATGTCATGCGATGTTGCCCATTATTTAGGCTAGACCATGACAATGTCGATCAACATATAAATGGAAAAAAAGAAACGAGTGCATCAATTGTGTGACCAACTCGACAATTGACTGGTGACAACGATGTGAAGCACCTTGAAACACCTACCCGCCAGCTCCTCACCTGGGGGCGTTCCGTCACCACCTGGGGCGTTCCGCTTGGGGCGCCAGGAGAGACGATGTGAGGCCCTTCCTGTACCCCGAGCCGAATGAAACCGACTCTCCGGAGGAGCTCCGACCTGCTCCGAGTGTAATGCCGCTGGTGCCGCTCTTTGATTGTAAGTGTGGGTATACATGTGGTTTTTACGAAAAAGTGTGGTTTTTGTTTGGGGTGCTGCTTCTCCGATACCCACGAAGGACAACGGCCATTTTCCCGCCACGTTGCGGGCGCCCATCTATGCTGGTGGTGGGCTCGGTACCCAACCAAAAGACGGCACCCTGCACCGTCGCACAGGGTTCGCGTTCACCGGCGCAGGCACGGTTCGGAAGCGAGGGTCAAGCATTTCTGCGAGGACAAGGATGAGAACGTGCGCTCCGTGGCGATCTTTCACATGAGATACATCAACGAACAGGCGACGACCGAGACGACCGAGACGGCCGAGAGTTGCGAACGGTGTGCTTTCTCGATGCGTCGCACCGCGGTGTTGTTGAGAAAACGGAGGAAGGCCGACATCAAGGAAGCCAGGCAGCTGGTGAAGTGAATGCGAGAGGAAGCCCCAAAGGCCACAAGACATGAGCAACATGTGGAGGACCTAGAAGGAAAAGCAAGGCTCGCCAAATTAAGGATGTTTGATGCTTCCTCGAGAGTGCACGCCCTGAAGTGGAAAACCACGGGTTTGATGGTTTGTAATGGTCTGTGCTGTCGAGGAATATGGCTATCCAAAAACACATCCACTTCGAATGATAATTTAATTCCACGAAGTGTAATGTGTAATCATTGTGATTGGGTCAATTCTGAGGGAGTGTCTTTCAAGCAACGGCTCCAGCCATAGCGTGTTGCTCTTGAAAGGACCTCATCCACACACCTGAATATCGTTATTTTTCACCCTTTTCTCGGATGTTTTAGGTTTTGGGTGGATTTGTCCAGAGTCCAGAGCTAGATGTCACTGAAAAGCAGATGGTTACAGTACCATATCGATGCATCATGAATCATCATATCGATGCATCATGAATCATCATATATATATATATATATATATAATAATGTTCATACGTTGCTTTTTTTGGCCACTCCTCCCCCCACCACAGTCATCCTCTCCTCAGGATGTAGAGGTAAATTGTCTTGCTCTTGGGGGTCAGCTGTATTGATTCAAAGGATGGCCCTCCTGCCAGGAGGTACTGCGACCACCGGGCATGTGGCACCAGCCTGTTGGGTGCAAGGGCACCAGCTGTCCAATTGCTTGTAGGGGCCATACCTATATTCATGAGAGTCTTCATTGGCCATCCAATGGATTGAGCTCGCCTCACCTGCCAGGGTGCAATCAATTCTTTGCTCATTAGCTGGCGCCATGGATACATTGGGATGGGATGGGTCGCATGGATTGTTCGGTAGCAGAATGGAACCCATTTGGAAAGTGATCCGATACGGTGCGCAGAGCTCCAAAGAGCTTCTACAGTGATTTAGCCTCCCTGGTGTCACTTTGTGGACCCTTTTGGTTGGCAGACCTGATCGCAAAATACACACTTATAATACCGTAATATCTTTTAATTGGAATCATTCCAAGAGATCGGGAAATCTGTAAAGCCGCGTGCTGTTCCCAATAATTTTCCCTGCGGCGCTTGAGCGCGGCGCTTGAGGCTCGGGTGCCGATGTTCACCTCACATGTATTCTAAGATCCGATGGTCGCAGTGATCGTAAAGTTTGGAAGAAAAACCGGAAGATCGATCCATCAGAAAGCTTCCCCCAAAGCAGGGCCACTCCAAGGGGCCGAACATCGAAAGCTCCGCCTCTCGAGTCGTAAGTCTTCGCTGTGCGTGTTGATCTTCCGGGCTTTGTGCAGCGCTGGGCGGGCGCCCCGTTTGCCAATCCAGGGGCCCCACAAAGCATACAAAACCTGATGTTTCCGTTTTGCTCCAAAAACCATGGTTTTTGTATGTTGAACACCTTTAAAGACTTTTCATGGGTTGGAGGGCCGCTGGAATGCGCTAAGGACGGTGATCCTCATCATCCTCGTGGGCATGGCCGGGAAGCACAGCGACTATGTGCTTTCTGAAGGGGTGGACGAAAATCAATGTCTGAAGCCCCTCCGCGGTTCCAAGTCTCAATTGAACACAGAAATTATGGACATGCCGAGTTGAAGCATGTACAGGCACTAGTTCGTAGGTACACCACAAGAATCCATGATCTAGTCCATGATCTAGTCCGTCTTCCTAATGTTGGATCCCTCCTTTTGGATCTGGCACTTCCAGGTCATGTCCCTAACCCATCTCCCGACCCCAACCCATCTCCCCCCAACCCGCATGCTGTCCCGATCTCCCGCTGTTTTGCTGAGTGCACCATCACCCGCGACTTGGGGCATTTGAGCCGAAAGCTCTTGGAGTCCGGGATGCCCAGACGATGAGTCGGCCACGGAGGAGGAGGAGGAGGAGGAGGAGGAGGAGGAGACCGGACATGTTCAGGTAATATGGTGGAATAAGACAATAGTAGATCTATACAGATCAACATGATGAGAGACCATTGGTCATGATGTGATAGAGATACTGCCAAGCAACCAAGCTCATGCTTTGTTGCTTAATAGCAACCATTAAGGTCATGTGGGACCCTGTATGATCTGCAATAGCTCATGCGACCAGGATGAGACCTTTGAGTTCAGGTCCTTTGAGACATCTTGAGAACATCCAAAGACAAGAAGCCCTGTATGAATATACCACAGCATGTGGGAACCCACGTTGACACAGAACATCACTGCTCCCTTCTTGCAGTGATGCACCTGGGGCTTGGTAGTACAGGAATCGAGCTTATTGGTTAGCTCATGTCGCCTGACCAAATGGGACCCCTGGACACAGTGAACACAGCAGATGTTTGAGGCCCCTGCGGATTCTGGCCGATGAGATGCAAAGTATCGCCCGAAGCCCGAGCGCTTGCCGACACCCGACACAGGGCTAGACTCACCTTCGGCTGAGCGGCTGAGCCTGAGGAGAGACTCCAAGATTCATCGCCTTTTGGGGGGAACAACGCTCTTGACTCCAAAGCCTCATGTTAGTGGATCGGAGTGCAGTGAACGCAGGTTTTGGAGTCTTGGATCAAAAACACCAGCACCATCAGAGGGTCACCTGGCTGGAAGACCCTACACTCACTACACTATATACTTGTGGATCTGACACCCCTTTGAAGGTCTAGGTAAGTGGTTGTATATCGATCTCTTCAGTCTACCCGTCGATTAACCAGACCTGTCACTCGGGCTGCCAAGACCTGGCAGCCTGTGAAGCTTCATTTGGCTTCCCGTCGGCTCAAGCTCTTTGAGCCAAGTGTTGTGCAACCTTGTGCCGGACTCCTCCCCGCGCGGTCAAGTATAACGAGTCCATGTCAAAAGAACACACAACACATGAAAGAAGTATCGAATCCCTGCTCCAGTGTGACCGTGACCTCCTTAATTAGGGCCTAGACGACATCGCGTTGGCTTTCGTGAGTTCTGCCGCAGACGCATAGTTGGCATGTAGGCGGCTCGATGGATCCTCAGGACGAGGCATGGACAGATGGACAGATCGTTTGGGCAGGGCTTTGGGTCGGTTGGGCAATCAGCCGTGCGTTTCTTTCTCGCACCCCAGTTTTTACTTCTTTGGTGAGGGGGAAGGCATTTGAGTGCGTGAGGGTGCTTTCCACTTGGTGAGTGCCAGTGCTTGTGCTTCCTCAACCGTCATTGGCACCGGCCGAACCTTGCGGCTTGGTGTCAATGGCTTCTCTCTCGGTGTCGATGTGGGTCCGGTCCGGGGTGAATTGGTCTCGGTCGGTTTGCATCAAAGGGATGATCACATGAATCAAACCACCGAGAGGACCATGAACGAACGGTTTATACAGCTGCAGATCATGCGAGGTTTCGCATGGCGCGATTCCCAACATTTATACTATACTATGCCGGGTTGGTGACATGTTCTTTTTCATCCATTCAACGAGAAGTTTCTTCTCCCAATCACACCTATATATAGTCTATAGAGTCTTATATACATGTTCTTGGAGACGTGAGAGTCAAAAACGGACATCTTCACCCCAAATCTCCACCCTCTGCGAGGCGGGGCTGTTGGACCCCTCCCGTGACTTGCTGCGCCTCCTGGACGACGACGACGACGACGACGAAGAGCCTTCGGCGCCGGCGGTGGCGCCAGCATCGGCGCCGGCGTCGGCGCCGCCGGTGGCGGTCGAGGCCCCGGCAGCGCCGGTGGTCGAAGCGGCGAAGGAGGCGGAGGAGGCGAAGCCGCCAGCACTGGCCGTGCTGGGACTGGTGGGCAGGAGGCCCAAGGAGGTCTTGGAGGAGATTTACTTGTGCCTTGGCAAGGACCTGACAAGATTTGAGATGTAAATTGATAGCATTACATCGCCTGATGTGAGATGTAAAAGCAGAATTGCATTGGCTTTGGAGGACCGGCTTCAAGAAATCTTTTTTCCTCAGGCCATGGCGGCCATGGTCATGGTGTAATTGATCCTTGCGACATGTTCTCCTCTTTTCAATCTCAGGTGCCAGATTGGTGCTCCAAACCTGGACCTCGGCCATGTGCAATGCTTCTATCAACCGGAGGACCCGGCCAACCCAAACATTGTCTCCCGTCGATGGTCTTTTGAGACGTCAGACCCTGCGGTGCAGGATCAGATGCTCTTCCTTTGCTTGGATTTGGCGATGCCCCTGGAGACGCATCAAGAGGAGGAGTCGGATTGATCCGTCGGGCGGTTGGACTCTGAGACCCGAAGACCGACGGGGTTTCGAACAGGTTTGCAGGAGGAGAAGGTCAAAACGGGAGGTGACGGGAGCTAGGACGATGGGAGATCGCGGGTGGGAGGCAGAGGTGGCCCTTGGTTTTCGCCTCTTTGGATTGAAGCAAACAACTGAAAACTGGTGCCCCACCCCCAAAACCTGCGGTTACCGCAATGCCACAGCATGCGACTCAAGCCGATCGGCTGCCAGACCCGACGTCCTTAGAGGACTGGGCCTTTCTCTTGAAGGCTGGGAAGATGGAAGTGTCGAAGCTCGAAGCCTTGCTCTTGCTCTTCAGTCTGTGCCTAGATCAGAATCGATCAGTGGGACAGGAGGCTTGGAGTGTGGTGATGAAAGGCTCAAAAAACGCACTTGGAACCCAGAGGCTCAACAATTGCCTGGATCTGTTAAATATGTGTGCATCCTCCCACCAGTCCGGACCAAACAAGTGCCCTTTTTTGGTCCAGGATCCACTCCCTCTTGCACCCGTCAGTTTGGTCACTCGGTCTTCGTTTGCGGTCCAGGGAGCCCATGAAAAGATGCCAAACCCGTCCGACGTGTCGGTATACCAAAGTGCTTTCCAGCCGAAAACGGTGGGCGTTCTTGAACAAAAGCACGCGCGCGTACCACGTACGGTCCGCGTACCGTATGGGAACACATGAGGCTTCCTCAGTGAGACTCTCAGTGATCGACTCTTCAGGACTGGTGCCGCGGTCGGAACCCCCCCCGGTGCCGGTGCGCCTGCTGCCGTTCGTTGTGTGCGCGGTGTGCGCACGCACGACGGACGTTCAGGTGTCATGTGGTGAACTGGTTCTGCAACGGCCGGGCGCCACGCTTGGACAGTGACGCGCTGCGACTCCTGGTGAAGGTGCAAGAGTTTCAGGCAAGATGGGTTCTTGCTGGATTGGGGGCGGTGATGGAGTGTGCGACTAATGCAATAGATTCTGTTGGGCAGGTGTGAGGAATCACTGGAAGGTGGGAATTTTGTCATATGCTACCCCCGGCTTTTGGGCCGTTAACTCCTTCTTTCGAAGAAAATAACAACGCTCCCCCAGTCGTCTTGGGCCTTTGGTTTCGGCTCAGATGGGCTTATTTATCGACTTCGGCTTCGGCTTTCGCCTCAACCGGTGTGTGTAGACGTTGCCCAGACTCAGACCGCAGGTGCACTGCGCCTTGGAGCACCGCTCCAAAACCAACGCTGCTCCCTTGGTGATCTTCGTCCACCGCGAGCTCCTGGGACTCGACCGGACCGGACCGAGTTTCGGGACCGGACTCTTGTGGGTGGGTTTTGCGGCGGCCGTGTTGGAATAGGGTTGGAGCTGGAATAGGGTTGGGGATGGGGACAAAAACAGCAACAATTCCAAGCAGAGACATGCCGCCTAGCCAGAGTGCACCGACAGTCAGTTCCCAAATGACGTTCACACGGACGGGCTTCTGAGCTTTTTCTCGGGGCAGCACGGGGTGAAGAACAGAGCCGAATGACCCGTATTTGGAGCGCGAAGCAAACCATGGAATGGAGCGCCAACTGATCCAGGCAGCAGATGAGATGTCTTGAAACATCCCCCTGATCAATTGGAATATGTATCTAATGTAGACTCTTGATTAATAAACCCTCCCATATGAAGAGGATGTTTCATTCAAATGGGGTGGTTATTAATCAAGAGTCTACATTACAGGAAAATGGAAAAACAATTGTTTTTTCCTGCAGATGTGTCCTGTGGAACAAAGCGACCTCGGAACAAAGCGACCGACCTGCTCAAAGCCATTTATCCAATGCCATTCTCTTCACAGCACCCTAGGGCTCCAGTGGTACCTCCCCACGTTCGGTATGACTGGAGCCTCCTGGCACCCACCCCAAGTCCCACCTTCTCAGAGGGTACGACTGGAGCCCTAGGGATCCTAGGGGTAAGTTCAGGCTGGAGATGCCCTTCTCACCGGCCGTGCCGGGACATCAAGTCTACGACGCGGTGGAGAAGGTCCTGGACAACAGGCCGGGCCGTCGTGCCGGGGCCAGATTTGCACGGTCGCTCGTCATCGCTCGTCTGTGGGTGGGGGTTGAGAGGTGTGAAAGCTTTGGAGTTCGTGGTGACTCAGGTGTGACACTGATACCGTCTCAGGCGCGAAAAAGATCGCCTTGTTCATACCCTTTGGCAGCACCCAACCACAGAAAGTACGTGAATTGTATCTGTATAAGGCTTTCACCCTTGGGTCCCTGTGTTCGTGTGTGTGCGAGATCTATTCTTAGATTCCCAACTATAGTTAGTTTGCCGTGCAGTCCTTGCACCATATTTTTAGCACATGAAAGCCGGACAACGATTCCCCAAGAATCCTGCCTGGCCGCTGTGAGTTTTGTGATGCTTTGCGGCAGGTGGCGAAACTCACTCAAGAAGATGAAGCTATTGCAAGATGCCAAGAGGAGCTCTGCCTCAGTTTTGAATGAGCTTTGCCAACCAGACGTCTTCGGCGAGGAACTTTATCGATTTTGTTCTAGTTGCTACCTTGGTTGCTGCCTTGGTTCCCAGAAAGTCGTGTCTCAGTGCCTTAGTGTCTTGGTCTTACAAACTGGAGTTTTGCATGTTTTTTGTTGCCATACTTGTCACCATTTGTCACCTCTTAACTCTTAACTCGTTCCAGACATCAACGATTAACTGAAAGAAACACAAAAAGAACGGTGAAATCCGCCACGGGCTGTGTCAGAAGGTCTGTGGATCGCACCGTGCTTTTGCATGCTTTTGCGTTTTTTTCACCGTGTTTGAGGAATCGGTCGCAACCGAGTGGACGTGTTTTGTTTGGTTCTCCATATGGGGACAAGCAACGGCCCACCGCGAACGCAAGTAGCATAAGATGTATTAAGCTCCGCTGCCAACCAGTCGTATGGTGGCAAACCAGGGCTTGTATGAATTTGTATGACATTACTTTTGGGACATCAGCACTAGCATAGCGCAGCTATTGAATCCTAAAGAGATGTTTCAACAAAGGCGACTGCATCCAGCTTGGCGCTCGCAAAATGGCCTCGGCCAGGAGCCTGGCAGGGCTCTTCCGTGTTCATCGGCCCTGCGCGGTGGCCATGGGACGCCAGGCCGAGGGACGGAAGCGACTAAAAAGGACGTGGGCGGAATCAGGAGGTGGATCAATGTTCAAGCTACCAAACATGCAAACGACTTCAATCGATTGAGTTGAGAGAAGTGTGGAAACTGGGATGATTTATGATGATTTGCATTTTAATTAGTGCTTTTGTGATCCATGAGTTTCTATGGAACATAGATGAAAATTGTATTATATATCGAAGGTTCTACTAGGGCCTTAGGGGAGCGCCTTTGGTGAAGCAAATCCCACCACCCCGTCCGTCTGCCCAACAGGCGCGCACGGGTGATTTGGCCCAACGTTGGGTGGAGGACCCGGCCGCGTGGGGCGATTCGTCGACTCGTAAGGCATCGCAAGGGGCGACTCGGGTGGCTGGATCCGTAGATATTGAGCGGCCTAGCGATGCCTAGCGGTCATTCCCTTATTATTCCCCACGAGTCGCACCAGTCAGTATCTTGTTCAATGTTGCTTTTGTATTCTTTCTCTTTGGCATCGCTGCGGACATGTGCGGAAGGCGACGAGGAGCGGATAGAGTTCAGCGGTGCTTTTGGAAAGTTGTTTCAATGTGCGAAGTCGGTAGTTGATATGGACCCCGGACCCCCATCTGTTTAGGACATCTTCGGGGTGCCAACTCTGAAACCACTGCGATGATTTGATGCACTTATTGACTTTCGACAGAGTCTGGATCTCAGGGCATGAGATCTGGAACTGGTTTCCGCGTGGTTTTGAAGTGCATCGCCTTGCCCGGTGTTTAAATCCATGTCCCGGAAGATTTCTCAGAGTTCTGCCTGGGGAGAAGTAACCATGATGACCATGATGGAATTTCAGTGAAGTTACATACCGCAAGTCTACAGTGCTTTTCAATGTTTTTTCACAGGTCGTTTGTTTCTCATTATTGACAACTGGAAGGGCCGTGAGGGGCTGGGATTTTTTTCGCAAGTCATCGTGGTCCTTAGTAGCTGTGGTATTTGTCCAACAAATTCACGTGTTTGATTGCCCAAAGAAATATATACAGAGAGGTGTCGCCCCTGAAGTGTGGAGGAAGTCCGGAATGCTCTCTAAGGCAGGACCAGACTTCTCCAGACCCACGTGGACGACCCCAACAAAAACATCAGACAACCGATCATGTCGCCAGAAAACCTGGGCTGTTTGTTGGGAGGATGGGGCGGGACTCTTTAAGGTCAGTCATGGGTAGACTAGGAAGACTTGCAGCGACCCTCTCTTCCAGAAGGGAGTCTTGGACCAGGAGCCAAGGACTTGTGGCCAACAGTGACAACGAAAAATCCATGTGACTTGACCATGTGATGCATCGTGCGGTGGCTCCTACGAGACGCCTCGTTGGCTCAAACCGCCGCCTTGTGAGGAGCCTCAAACAGCCTTGGACCGGCTGCGTGACCGGCGTCCTGGACCGCGTTCAGAGCTGGGGGAGGCTAAGGCTAAGGCTTTTTTGGAGAGAGGAGTTTTTTCAGGTTGCATTGCTCTTTTGATGTTCGGAAGATGTTCTTTTTTTTTTCAGGTGGTGCATGTTTGAGGCTGGGCATGTGGTGCAACTTGGGCATGTTTGTGGAGTATGAACTCCAGAAATAGAAAGAACACTCAGTTGTTGGACTACGAGATGCCATCCAATCTGAGTTGAACCCTGCAGGCCAGTCAACAGATGTCAACAGAGCCCCAATCCCCTACCATTATAGTGGTCCCTTCATGCCCCTTCCACTTGGCCTGGAGCTTGCCCACTTCCGGGCTTGTCGATGGAGCCCCCCATGATGAGATATGCAAAGCTTAGGCTGGCGGAAGCGTCGAAAGAAAAGCGCGAGAAGTTGAGCTTTGAGGACTGGTTGGGCACAGCATCCGTCACTCGGATGACATGACATGGCAGGAAAGTGGAGGGAATCCGCTGGAATGTGGGAATCTGAGACGTGAGGAAGACGGAACTTCCGAATGCAGCACGTCCAAGAGACTGGAGGATTTTTCTTTGGTGTTCATGCATGTTCATGGTCTACAAGGGGCCAACAAGGGGCCATTGACACTTGACTGCTGTTTGCAGCTGCACGAGGGTATAGAGGTACAGAGAACCCAAACTTCATGGCAAGCCCATGCAGCTGCGAGGTCCCGGCTTTTCACCTGATATGTCCACCGCTGTTTGCACTGAGTCCCACAGCTGTTGCCCACGGCCACATGCTTACGACATTTTACGACAGAACTTACATGAACTTGCTGTAATGAGATGAATAAGGTATGTATCATGTGTCCCGTAACAGGCGGACAAACCCAAGCTTGCAGCTTGAGCTCATCTAGCATTCCAAACATGCCTGTCGGCCTCCCTCTTTGCCACACCCTGCCGCGTCTCGCCCAGGCGCTCCACCTGCGTCTCCACGCCACATTGACCGCCGCAGCGCGCTTGCCAGAAGAGCTCGCGCAGGCCGTGGGCGAGGCGCTGCCCCGACGCGGCTCGAGCCGGGCTGTGTGGGTTGTGTGGGTCGTGTGGGGTGCATGGGTCCATGGTGGGCGCGGTTGGCGAGGTGAAGAAGGTGGGCGCAGTTGACCATGTGACGCGGTGATGTGGGTGAAGGATGGTTGGCCGGTGACATGCGCCAGTTTCACGTGGCGGGGATGCTCTGAGAACTGGGTGAGCAACTGTACCAAAAAGAAGCGACTCTGCAGGAGTTTCATTAGAGGATGGTGAACACGCTTTGGGCCTATTAATGGTGTTTGAGCCTCTCATGGCTGCATAGCTCCTTATGAATGCAGGCCTTTGGATCCTCAGCTGCACTTCGTAAGCCATTAACATTAAGATCATTAAGGCTCCAGACTGCCCTTCGATCATGACATTATATGTGTACTTAGGGGTTTATGCGATATCAGGGCATCCAAGAAGCCATGCCACATCAATTCATCAATCATGTCGATCCTATCTCACTTCTTCCACATTTCTTCTTACGCTTCTTAGTTCGGTACGAAGTGAGGACAACCTCTCCAAACCAACAACCTTCCAACCACGTCACTCCCTGGCACCACCCCTTGAGCGACGCCGGTCACGTCGCTCGCCTCACTCCGCCTCGCTTCGCCTCGTCTCAGCCGACGACGGGGCCCACGGGGCCTCGGGAGCTTTGCTGGGCACTGGGCAGCTGGGCCTTCCCAGAGCCTCGACCAGCGACGTCGACCGCGCCGTCGTCGGGGTGTCACGGGCGGCGGGTGCGCAGGGGGGGGGTTCGGCCGGGGCGGCACCTGGGAGAAAAGCGGAGGCTCCAAGCATGGAAGACTTAGACGTTGGAGTGATTGAATTGAAATGATTACATGATCCAATCATGGACTTCCATTGGATTAATTACATTACTCTCCGTTTCAGGAGCCGAAGTGTAGGCGCACCATACCAGACATGGGATTGTTTGGGAGTGACGGACGTTGAGACTCAGGGGTGGAATCCCACCGCCCCACAGATGACTAACTTGTTCAAGGTTGCCAGTGCTGATGGTGATTGTAGGCTTGAAAGTTGCAGCTGGGACCTTGTTGGCGCTTCACATCGGATTCATCACCTCCATGCCAAGCTTCGCGCAAATCCCACTTGGAGTCTCGTGAAAAGGAGGAGGTACCAGTGGAGATACCCTATATTACCCTATATACCCCTGCAAACGATACTTGCGGACTCTGTCTGAGGCGCTTCCCAAGACCCTTCGGTTTCACCGGGTATCTGGGAGTGGGGTTTCACCGGGTATATACCCCTACCTGGACCATTCAAGGGGTCTCCAATAGACCACCCTACAATACTTGTCACATTGTGGGCTTCCATTGGGCACCCCGACAGGATGCTCCTGGTATATTATATACCTTTGGACAGGGAGCCGATTAGGTACATTGTCCTCCTTGTCATACAAAAATGATAGGACATCCCCCAAGTTTGAGGAACTAGGCTTCAGCCAGGGAGAGGCTTGGGGATGTCATGGGTGCGTTTCGGACACCAAATCTCAGGAGCTCTATTTCGCCTTCAACAGTGCGCAGGTCAGGGCTGGTGGACCTATGTTGGTCAAATCTCCACAAAGAGTGGTGACATCTTGAAAGACCGAGAGACCCTTATATATATTATATATTTTACTATAAATTATTTTACTGCAATCATTATGGAAGACCGCGTTGGCCTTATTGGACTGCTTCTGTCATTTTTAGGAATTATGTGCCAATTCCTGGAAACTAGCTACTACCTGGGAACAATTTATTATATATAGTACGGTTGCTGGTTTACACCTACCCACCCGTTTCCAGCAGACACCCTCCATAACTTTCTGCCAAAAAGAGCCGTGTCATGGCAAGAACCCACAGCTCTCAGTCGTGCAGTACTTTCTTCGCACCCTTCGCACAGCTGCAGGAGGCCATCGATGAGGCCTGTCAGAGCTTCAGCGCCAAGCTGGGGAGCGCCGTCCCTCGCTGGTGAGTTCCGAGGGCGGCTGTCTGACGAGTCCAGCTGGCGAGTCCTGTGCAGGGGTTCGTTGCATAGATGTAGCAATTCGGAATTGCCACCGATGGCCTTCTACTATTGGTTGGGGTGAACATCAGTGAGCAACCAATTACTGTAATATCTGGCGCCTGGCAGCCTGGCAGGAGAAACACCCTGCATGTGTCCTTGCTTTTTTGGGGGGGACATCAATTCACTTCGTTACGGTTCCTTTTTGGACGCCAAGTTCGCTGCGATGCGCGCCGGCCGCGAGCAATCGCGGTGCAGCCTGAGGACTCTCAAGAGCTCCTGGAGGCTGCAGAGCAGCAGGTGCTGCAGAAGGCGTGTCGTGGCGACCCGTGTTGTGGTCGGTGTTTGGGTTTGGGGTTTGTTAGAGGTGGGAATTGAGGTCTTGCTTCTTGGAGCCTGAGCAGTCAATCGGCTTGCGCTTTTGGATCGAAGGTGGTTCTTGGAAGCGGTGTAGATTTTTGCGTGTGGTATGCTAGCAGATGCTAGCATCATATTATCCCCTTTTTCATCACATGTGGCTCTTATGGACATATTCTCTGGAGGCTGCCCAAGCAAAAGGATTTCTTGAAGATCTTCCTGGAGGAGTTGCGGGCAAAAGTGAGCTCCCTACACAGGAGAAGAACAATATTGTGGACAAAAGTGAACATCCTACAACAAAAGATGCTGACTTTGGCACTCCTTGCACCTCTTGGCACCCCTTGCACCCCTTGCACTTCATCTCCACCTTTGGCACCCCTTGCCCCTGGCACCTCTTGTGCCTCCCGCAGTGCCAGACCTATACGCCCTTGGGCGCCTGTGCCTGGGCGGTGGCACGGAAGCACTGCGAACGGCTGATCAACATGCAGTCCAGGCGCGAAAAAAAACGGCGGTGCGCGGGATGGAGGATGGATAGATCCGTTTTGTCTCCCTCTCCAGGCAGCTACACCCCGCGAAACAAGCATGGAAGAGGATGGGTATGGCCCCGGGAACTCGTTAGATGGCCGTTGTCCGAATACATCCGAATACCAAACAGGGGGTGCATGTTATAAGAAGGCATTGCCGTCATAGTGGAGATCTGGCTGCCATATGGAGTCTGAGGGCACAGATTGATACAGATTGCAGAGGAGAAGGACATGATCCCACTTGAAGGGTATACCATGGTATACCTAATGTTGGTTGTCAATCAACTAAAGCCCCCCCCAACTAGTAGATGTCATATCGTAGATGACTGTCATGAATCACAAAAGTCGACATGATGTATAATATATATATATACACCAGGAGTCACTAAGGGGTGGTGTTTGATCCCTAAGTGAGTGGGTAATGGGCACCCCTAACCTCCATGGATCGCATCCCGTCTTGTGATGGCTGGTATATCATGAATGAATGACCTTGATATACCTTGATATACCTTGATCCTTCATCTTCATGGCCTCACGTGTCCCGTGGGACCTCCATGCCCTTCGTCCTACCGCACACCGCCCTCCAGGCCCTGCAAGGCGAGGTGCTGGAGCGGGCGAAGCTGCAACTTGATGGAGGGCCATCAGGACCGGCGCGTGGACCGCGCCACGCGGGAAGCACACGCGGCGGTCGGTGCCAGAAGGGAAGGCACAAGAGAGAAGGGATGAGAAGGGTGGATTCGTCATGGAATCATGGGTGTGTGTGAATTTCAGGGTCCTTCAATTGATGGATCAACTTCATTCAACTTCTTCACCACTTCTTCATAGAAAGAAATGCTCTCATCATTTTCACCACTCAATGAACCCATTTGTTATAATCCTTTGACAAAACCAAGGCTCTTAGATGACTTGTGGCTGGTGGCTGGTCTCGTCTGATCTCCTCGGAACGCCAGGAACCTCATCGACACGGATTCCGGGCCACGAAGGTGTGCCTGTGTGGGAAGAGCGAGGCCGGAGTCAGATGCTTTACATGAAGATGGGTGAGCGGAGAGTCTGGGCATCCACATGTTTGACATGGGAAGTGTATGTGTGATGAGATCTATAGGATATCCTGATTGAGGAGTGCATGACTCACAAGAATCACTGCCCCAGAATTCCTGTAGGCTGGATGTTCAAGTAGGCGATCCTGTCAGACATCTCCACCCTAGGACCTGAATTGAAGTTCATTTCAATCCCACATCGGTTGAAGAACTACTGGGACTAGGTGACTAGGCCCGGCCTCCCCCACCACGAGAATCAATGAGCGCCAAACGAACTGCGAATGTCCTCTACTTCTTAGCTACTGGTTCCTGCGGTAACACGTGGATGGCGACGAGGAGTCCGGCCGACATGTGCCCCACGGGGCCCTAAGGGGCGGGCCATGTCTAGACGTGTCAGATGACTCAACGACCGGGTCACTTCGACCGCTTCGGCAGGTGCAGCTCTTCGAGAAGTTCGAGCCTCCGAAGGTGGGGATGAAGAAGATGGGAAGCGTTTGCCGGCTGGTCGTTCGTGGTTTTTCTGCGTTTTCGAAGGTTCCAGCGGACCACGAATATGGCATATATGGCGGTGGACCAAGCCCCAGATCCCCAAACCAGGGTAGATTGACCTCCGACTCGTAGTCCTTAGTCCATTCTGTTTGTTTTCTCTAGTCAACCCAGGTCGCCCGGTCTTGACCGCCACCCAGATGGTTCCAAGGTCCCACAGGGACCCTGAGGTGAACTCTTAAGAGCTGGGGAGAAGATGGGTGAATTTGAACGTCAATTTACACATGATGGTGATGCTTGAGAAGAGAAGCAACGTGAGAGCGCGTGGAATCCATGCATGTTTTTTTTCGAGACCAACGAAGGTCAGGAGGTCTATTTGGAGGTCAATGGACTGTCAGTCCGTCGGGTCGGAATGTCCAGAAAGCAACGTATAGTTGGATCAGTTGGGGCGTGGCATCGAGAGGTTCAACGACAGTGGTGAAAAGTCCAGTTCATCGGGCTTTTTCCGGACTATTCGTGACCACCTTAAATCGGATGCACCAGAGCTAGACGACCTCTTCGTCCCGGTCGGTGGAGCCGCACATCTCCACCGTTTTGGCCGCCCGTTAGGCGGCGGCGGAGGGCATTGCGCCCTTCGGGCCCTGTTGCCACAACGTGAACTTCATGCCCTTCCTACCGGAGGGCTGCGACTTTGATATGGACCCAGTGGCTTGGACTGCGCAGATCAGCAGGTCGCAGGTCGAGTGGTGATTAGTGGGGTGGATGCTTTGGAGTAGGTGCGCCAGCGGGTTCTGGTGGGTTTGGCGGTGTTTGGTGTTTGGTGCTTTTGGTTTTGGGCTGTGTTTTGTGGCATTGTGGCAGATGAATAACTTCCAAAACCGACAGTGGCTTATCGCCATGCCCGTGAAGATTATGTATACTTGTCCGTCAGGTTCCTGGCGATCTGGTGAGGGGGGGCCTCACACCACTATACCCAGCACCCGCGAAAGGAAAGGGATGTTGATGCACCCGAGATGTGCAACCCAATAGCAATGGCCTCCACCCAAGTAGCGACGGCCCTCCAACCTACCATACTGTTTCGAAACCTGGCGTGGAGGACCCGATCGAGAAGTCATGCACCGCTTGAGCCAAACTCTGTAATTCCATGCAAACAGCCTGTTAAGTGTTGCATGCAAGCGCATCGCCCAGTTGGCCCAAGTGTTCAACCCTCCCATGTGTTGCATGATTGATTTCCAAAGCCCACTAGACGCTAACCACAACATACCACAACCTCATCCCCAAGGTAGCAAAAGGCCTTGAACTGGTCACCCCCAACTAGAAATTCAATCATGGGACATCTCCCCCCAAAGGCTACCAGCACCCGACTTCACAGGTCACCACCTGACACTTGAAAAAGTCTACAAAAGCCTGGTAGATGATTATACCCTAAGAATCCTTGGTAGGGTGATCTTCCCTGGTGTATCCCCCCAAAGGCCATAGAATTTGCGACTTGATTCACTTGATCTTCTGAAAGCAAAAATCTCCTGACAGCGGCAGGTGCTGATCCCTCCCTCTCCACGACTCTCGGAATCGCTAAGAGGGGAGAGAAGATGGGGATGGGGAGAGGAACACCGAGGGGCTGACGGGCACGGTGCAACTCTGGGAGAAGAAGCTGAGCTTGTGGATGGTTGTGGATGGGCTGCCCCTTCCGGCGACGTCATGGGGTTGTGGTGGTGGATGGGCTGCTGAAAGCCCATCTGAAAGCATCGTCAGGACCCAGGTGAAAGATCTATACTTGCACCTTCGACCGAATCAGCAAGCTATATCTTAGGATGGACTTGAGAGAGGGAGATAGAGAGGTTTGAACTATCAAATGATATTTGGGGGCACAGGTGTGTTTAACATGATCAAACCACCTTCTGGAGCCCTAAGAAACTACACGTCACACCTGTGCACAGCTAGCAGTGCACAGAAACTACACGGGATGTGTCTTGAGCCATCTTGAGCCCTAAAGACTCACGGTCCTCCACCTTCTGTTTGGTGTTGTAAATGCCGTCGTGACATGTCACAAAGCCTCTGGAACCTCGCAGAGACGCAGAGCAAGGTCGTTGAGACCCAAACCATCACCACCTTCCAGCTTCCAAGGATTCGAAGCACCATTGATATTACTTATTGATTAAGAATGTGCTCTTTCATGTTCTTTCCGCACAAATTTTGTTCTCTATATACTAATTAGGACTTTTCTCCTTCACACCTACAAAATCCAGCTCCATGTCCTAAGGATCTGAATCTTAACACCACTTATTAGACCAACCAGCGCAGCTCCTAGCTCTTGGAAGCCCGCGGCCCCGAGGCCTGGCGCGCATCAAGCCCGGCGCCGTGGCGATGACGGCGCTGCCCTCCGCGCTGCCGGAGGCCAACGGCTTCCTGGCGCTCGTGGCCGACGCGCCCATCGCAGTGGATCCGGAGCGCCCGGTGTCAACCGGCGGGGCGGGGCGACCCGGGTTGGATGATGTGGCGTTGGTGGGAGGAAAGTGTAGAACTTAGAAGTACACTAGCCTGTTTTTTTCACATAGAAGTGGAGAATGGCCCCGAAAGGAAGACCATTTTCCACAAACAGGTGGAATTTCACTTCCATATATGCTATTATATATTACCTTAATAATGTCGCGTTTTTATAGTTCCTCTTATTTGGTTTGGGAAAGGGGATGGAAAGGGGGGCCCGAACATGATGTGAATCATAGAAACTCTCTCATCCCAGCTTCACAATCTTACTCCCAGCTCATCCAGCTTACATGTCTTCACGTCTCAGGCCCTTCCTCGTCCTTTACCCCCTTCGTGTAAAGAGTGTCATCGCCGTTTGAGCCATCTGAGCGTTTTGGCATTGCCACGGCAGGAGGGCGCCCGGCTCCCGGGTTTTGGAGATCAGCTCTATGGCCTCAGCTGTTGGCATCTCCCCCTCGCTGGGCCCAAGGAGGTCTACGTGGGCTTCGAGTGAATCGGTGGAGGTTGGAGAATGTTGAAGAGATCGTTACTTGTGGCGGTTTTGGAAGGCACGTAGGCATGTATTAAATAGTGCCCGGGGGAATGGATGGGGGTGGACCGCATAGGTTTTGAGTTTTGGAGGCTTGAATGGTTATTAATAATGTTCCGTCTTCCACAATGGCTCTCTTAGGCCGGCAGGGACCAGTCAACTTGCCAAAACGGACCAGCTGAGGTATGTTTGTCCTCAAGGCTATCGCTTCTTAGCACCTCCCTACAAGTGTTCTGGCTTGTCCACCGGCAAGCAGCCAGCCGCTTGGTGCGAAGTGGACGAAGTGGGCCCTAAGTGGTCAAAGTTTGCTGCTAGGAGGGGAAAGGGACAAACAACAGTCACCAAACATTCGCGATGTTTTACCAGGTTCCTACCTGGCACCATGTATGCCAAACAGATCTTCGCAGACGGCCGGCCCCGACAGTTTTCTTGTTCTAGTTCAGACTCCGATCAACAAGCACATTGGATACATTGGTTCTTCAATCCCAGGATCCAGAGCATTGCTGAGTGGAACGATTGATTACGAATGACCCTGTATTTGAAAAAAACAAATGTTTGCTAGCTCATGCTAGCGCCACGGACCGTCGATCCATTGGCCAGAAACGCACTGTCCCCCGAAATTCGGACGCCGCGGGGAGCCGCGGAAGCATCGATGTGCTTCGAACATCGGGTCCTTCCTTGGAAGCCATCGATCAAACCCCAAACCGGAAGAGCAGTCAGACACTCCGAGCTGCGCAAGTGTCCAAGACGTCACCAGAAAAGTTGCACAGCCCGAGCTCATGCGTTTTTTTGGGGTGGCTTTCGCCGGCCCAGAGAGTGCCAAGGAGGTCGAGGGGAAGAAAGGCCGCCGCCGCAGGGAGCAAACCAGCCTTGAAGAAGGCGCATGAGGGGCAGGGGAGATGGATGAGTTGATGATATAGATGGATGCACCCAAGAACCCTTTGCTTCAGCTCAAGGGTGGCGCGAATATATGTAGACTTTAGGAGGCGATTGAGGGAGAGAGGAAACCAGTTCCCAGTGAATATTATTTGGTGAAAATATTATTTGGCGAAAGGAACTGGCGACTTCCCAGTCACAACCACACATTCACTCCAGCTTCGACCGCCGAATTGGGGCAGAAAACCCGACAGCTTGTGAAAACGGAGTGGCGTTCGCGCCCACAATCCCACGAGGTCTCATGTCCACTCACTGAATGGTGAACTTCCTCAACCCAATACTCCCCTGCAGATTGACAGGAATCATGGCCGAAACCACCACACATGTCGTTCTTCTCGGGTTCCATGATGTTTCCATGTGAGTTTGTGAGGCCATCCATGGTGATCTGCACTGACAAAGATCCCCCCCAAAAGGCGGCTTAACCGCGATCAAGGCGTCTTGAAGACGTCTTCAGTGACGCCCAGGGCGGAAGGCTCCCACCCCGGTAGCCATGGCTCTATCCGAGCACCGACCAGGTCATGCCTCGTTGCTTCGGACGTCCCATCCCTTTGCCGTCCCCGAGACAACGCCTTGGGACGTCGCGACGCGGGTTTCCTCAGGCGAGTATGAGTCGGTGCCCTTGTGCGGGTATCGGCTCTATGTGCCCTGCGTTCAACACCGACGCCAGAAAGGCGAGGGTTTGTTCGTCAGCAGGGTATGATGGTAAAGGGGGAATCGGAACGTCGACGTGAGATGTCCACATTACTTGAGTCATGAATAGCCGTCAACATGTTTTACAGATGTCGGCATGGTATGGCATGGTTGGACTTCGAACTGGCCTTGTAGCTTGCATGTCTTCTCGCGCCTGATCTTATTCAATCCAGCTTTGCATGCTCATCGGTTGAGTGTCAACCACCGACCACGGGCCCCCCATTTCCGCCTTAAGTCGGTTGGACCGCATGCTGGCCTGTCAGATATGGAACTTCCAGCAATTCGGCAATGGATTCCAACAGCAGGTAGCTGCATCCACAGGCTACCTAGACCCCTGGACCTGTCCTCATCGGAGGTCGCCGGGGCGATCCTCCTTGCATCAGTCAGTTGACGCGGATTTGGGCGCCGAGCTGAGCAAACACGCGGACTTGGCCTTTGTCCCAGTCCCTCCCACACTGACTGACCTCTTGGTATTAGTATACTGATGTATACTGTAAGTGGGCAAACCCATTGGACGCCCCAGCAAAAACATGGATACTGTAAGCATTTGTAAGATTCTTTAAGCAATTTTGTTCCATAATTGTTCACCCATACAAACCGTTGGTTCTCCCCAGCGAAACCATCACCTGCACCATCCATGCGATGCCATTCCTGCCTTCCTCCAGGTGCAGACGCCGCACCGACGCGAGCTGATCCAAGCAGAGCCCCGCGTCGCCATCGTCGACACCAAAGGACGAAAAGCGAACGCGGAGAGCGGACAACACGTGGTGCCTGAACACAAGTGTGGAGTGGAGACAGATGAGGCTGTGAAGTGGTAGGTGTGCTTAATTAACGGTTGCCAGAGATTGGGAGAGTTCGCTTGGCGACAAGTTTGTCAAATTTAATCAGACTTAAGCATCCAGAGATATCCAGAGTGCTTGGACTTCCATGTTTGCCGGCTGATTTGTTTTATTTACTCTGAATTCTGGAACAAAAATCAACTGATTCTGTGAAACTGTGAGTAATTCAGACCATTCCAGAGCTCGATTTTTGCTTTGTGCTTCGATTGTTGGGGTACAAATTCGACTGGTCGGGTCGGTCTGAGACCAGGAGAAGTGGGATCCGATGGGAGGCCCAAAGAGGTCATCATGACAGGCGACCGGGACAGCGGAGCATGCTGCGCAGTCCGCAGCGGAGCGGCGGAGCGTGGATGCAACTCAGACACCGGAGCGGTCCGTCAACAAGACCAGTGTGACTATAGTGGAACTTGGGGTTGGAGAGGTCACCATGTTTGTGCCATTGCAAGGTGATTTATAGTGGTTGGGACGGGAACGGACTTCGCGACGAAAGTGGAATTTTCACTGATGACCATTGGAATATAGGTTAGCTCTCTGCTGTGAGAACCGTGTGGATTTGAAGTCAGGGAGGCTTTTTTTCCCGGTGATTGGTGCTTGTTGGCTGCTCATGTCCGACCCAAGCTGCGTCGCTATGTTGCTCGGATCCAGCACCCGACCTTCGCAGGTGGGAAAGTCGTCTTGCCCGCGGGCATGTTGGTGCAGCTGGTATTGCCGTATGCCTACTTCCGCACCTGGGACTGTAGGGTGATGGAGGGGTGGAAGGGAGTGGGTCGTCATGGTTGCAAATCCAAGGCAATCGCTATATAGGTTGTGAAGGTAAATGACATCCTAGTTTAGGGAAGAAGCAGCTCACCAACATTCCAAAGCCTGAACAAGTGTCATGTGGTGAAGCCATGTGTTTTGGTGTGCTCAAATCACCGGAATGGAAAGTATGGTCCAGTTTGGATCTGTGGAACCATTTGAAAAGGACTTCCAAAGTTATATTACAAAGAGAACAAAATGTTACTATGTACTGATCTATACTGTGTATAGATCCAAATTATAGAGACTAGGTTTCATAATGCATTACTGTATATAGATCTGTATATTGGAAAAGCTTTCATAATGAATGCATGGAACTCAGTTCCTCCTCCCAAGGCGCCGACACGCCGGTGCCGAGCTTCTGGGACTTGGGCCACGACGCGGAGCGCTGTCGCTTGTGGCTCGGGCCGAAGACGACGCGGGAAAGGGCGGGGAGTATAGGGAAGCTCCAAGAGATTTATATAGAACAGTTTATAGAACTTAGATGAATTGTATATTGAATGAACTTATATATGGACCATATCATGGTGAACATCGAACGTGCACCTGCATTATCATAGTTTATCATGCAGTGTTCCCCGGACAAATGACATCATGGTGCTTTTTGTGGCTTGGCCAGCTTGGCTGCTTCGGGGTTTACTTCCATGAGGTTTGCTGACAATTTGTTTATATACACCTTTTGCATTAGAAGCACTGAAAACGGACGACCATGTCCATGTTTTGCCAACAGATTCTTCTTGATTGGCAGGGAATGTTGTAAAGCCTTGGGGAACTCTTCAGAATGGCGCATCGCAGGCGCATTTATGTTTCAACATTGTCCAACTGTTCCTCGAGCTCGTTGTTCAGCAGCTCAGGTTGCCCTACTTGTTGACCTTGCGACGCCCATCCTGATCCGTCAGTTCGTGAGACCAACCTTATTTCGATCTGATTCGTTCAGTGGAATCAGCCTGATCTCAGCGCTGCATAGCACTGCGCATAGCACTGCGCAGTTCTGCGCCCGGACCAATGGGGGCCTGAGCTGGAACAAATGGCTGGAAGGGATTCCGAGGCTCGTCGAGGTGAAGGAGAAGTAGCGCTGGACTTCGTTGGAGACGGCCGTGAAGGGCGAAGTAGAGCGCCTCACTTCCGGTCTCACTCGTCTCACGCCTGAGGGGAACCCAACTGTGGAGAAATTGGGCACTGCAGCTGGTCGTTTGGGCCAACTTCACTGGGCTCCCAAAGGGTTAGTGGTTATGTAAACGAAGTTCTGAATATCTCTGAATCGTTCACCAGCATCGATTTTTCAACATGCGGTTCCCAGGTTCATTGCAATTCTTGGCCAATGAGCACAAAGCGAGGAGAGGTCCCAACCCGCTTGAAGCAAAAAGGGGCGAGCTGACGCGAGACATGTCCGGGATTGGGTTGGCGACGAATAGATGCTTTGAATAGATGCCCAGGGGGCCGGGAAGAACCGTGTTGTACAACTAACGTAGACTCAAACCCATGGGTTGGCCGGACATGATTCCAGGCCACGCCTTTTTTGAAACTGATTGCCAGGCTATTTCCGGTGATTGACTATTTTCAACTGTTTGACATTGCTCTATAGACTATGGACTCTTGACTCTAGCTGCTAGCTTTAAAAGATTCATAAAGATTCCTACATCTTTGGTGGGAGTGGCTCACCTCCCAAGTGTCCAGTTGCCTGATACACTCCTCAATAGGTCGATATGGCCCGATGTGGAAACCCCGAGGCCCACATCAACCTGGCTGCCATCGCCAAAGAGGAGTGATCATGTGCTGACCAAGTGGCGAGTTAGTCCGACCGCGAGTTGGTCGCAATGTTAAATGACTCAAATGCCCATCCTTGATTGGCTAGCCCATGTGTTTCCTCAGAGTTTCGTGTAGCTTGTGTATTGGGTGGTAGCTGGCTGCTATCAGCAAGTGAGAGGTTCCTGGTGCTGTGCGCTAGCTGCGCCAGCCACTCCCGCACCAGATTGATTTTGTTTGCCAAAAAGGTTTGTCACATTCACATCCTTTTGTAGCAACATTCGAACATCCTTCATCACTTATCGTACTTGGGCAAGGGCCCTGGTAGTACCCCTACTGACAATCTCAGCAATTGTAGAATGCATTGTCGAAGGATCTCCCGTTCGGATTGTTCTCTAAGACATGCCCCTACATAGTTTATGTGTAGGCTGTCGTGTTTTGAAGACCAGTCAACCATAGTTAAGCCATGTTAAGCCCAAATTTGTTGCTGTTCCAGTCACCTTCTTCATCACCCGTTTGTCAATCGACGGCACGTGCCTGTCTTTTTGCAGGAGAGATCGGAGGCTTGGCATGCGCCTTCTTTAAGTCACAGTTGACACAGAGGACAACCCAGGAACCTGCGGAAGAAATCAATTCCCAAAGGCAGAGAAAAGACATGTGCCTAAGACTAACCTGTTGCCTGAAATCTGCTGGGCATTTGATGAAGTCTACTGGGCACTTGGATGAATGGTTTGAGGCTGTATTTTTCAGATTGTACGGACTCCAGGAGGATAAGATAGGATGAGTGTAGAGCTGCACGCTCAACAGTCAGTTGATTTGTCGGACCTGTACGTGTTTGCATGTTTTTCACTTGCTTTTTGGGAGGGCGAGTGAGTAGGGGATGCTATTGAAAGCAAAGAGTAAGGATCACATATACGGTTCCCAGTTGGCCGACGGAAAGAATGGCTTACAGTGACGCGTCCGGGGTCCCTCAGACGACGTGCGCAGGCAGAGCAGGGAGCTGCAGAGGCGGAAGTCAGAGAATCTGATGTCATGACTTGGGACAGGATGGGACCAGGGTTGCCATGTTTTAACATCCTTTGTTCGACCTTTTAGAAAGGATCATTTGCCTTGAAGGTATTTCAAGGCTGGTGCCTGGAGGTGCCTCACCACCTGACTCATTCAGATCTGCCTTAGCTGGGACACCTCACCTGAAACCGGACCCCTTCTGGACCACTTCATGGGAGAACAAGCATCTCTCTCAACCAACGGTCGGAGGAGAACCAAACGTCGCCACGTTCGGGGAGAGCCCGGACAGCCGGAGGGGACGACACCAGCGACACGTTCCGTGGCCGAGTTGGGCGGCAGGTGCAGTTGATTCAGCACATCTTCGACAAAACGATGCCCGGCAGAAAGGGAGGACCATGTGAACATAAGAACATCAGCGGGGATGCCATGCATGAAGGTAAGGACATGAACGACATGAACTGGGATGTCGTCGGGTTTGTTGATCCGCTCCTCCCCAGTAGTGGGGGAGTGCGAGTGCGGCGCCCACTGTGTGAGTCTGGCAACCCCTATTTGGCATGTTCCAGAAAGAAAGACCACAGCTTTGAATCGAGTTTTTTCCTCAGTAATATCAGTAATGTTGAAAGTTCCACAGCTTTCCCATCCAAGATCTGTATTCAGACCCGCCCTCCGCTGGCGACTAGCACGCACCGACCCTTCAGACGGCCCCACCGCTGCGCAGCACGACCCGTTTCCGTCCAGGAAGGTGGCGATTCGCTCCTGGGGCCGCTACGTGCCGTGGCCGGTGGTGCAAAACCTCCTGGTTGCCGGCGTGGCGGTGCAAACGCAACTGGAGGAGCGAGAGGCGGGGTGGAAGGCGGCGGGTGGAACGCCAGCTGGGTTGGGTGGCTTGCATGATGTTACAGTTCTTATATAGGATTCTTATAGGTATCAAAACCATTCCTTGACCTGTTTTTTAAAAACACATATCCTATATAGGCACAGTCAGTGACCGCCATGACTCTTCGGTGCGACCTGCGCACCGCTCACCGCGCTATGGTCGGTCCCGTGATGCTTCCGGAGGTCGATTCCATCGCCCTTTCCTCTGGTCAGTGTCAGGTGTTCTCATGGCTCACCATGTCAGCTCTCCCCTTCTCATCTTCGGTGCAGGTGAGCCTCTTCTTTTCTGACATGGCAGGATTCACAAGCGACTTGGCTGCCAGACCGGCACCAGCCCTGGCGTTGTGCACCGCGAGAACCCTCGCGAGCTGGCGTCCTGCCGCCGCGGGTTCCGCGGACATGTCGAAGAGAAGAGATGAGGCGTTGGCATGCTTGGCATGGACCTGGTCTAAGACCATCAGTTCCTTTATGAACAGGTTTTCCACTTCAGGCGTCTGGGCTCAAGGTCCTTCGCCTTAAGGAGCGGCTGGGTCCCTGGGGCTGAGCTGCCACTCTCGCGAGTGGGGTTCAGCGTCCACTAAGGTCTTGTGGCCAACCCTTCCTGCGTTTGTGCTGGTCACTTGATCTTGTGGTGATTTGCCATGGCATTGGATGCTTTGTTCCGCCTTGCTGCGGACTCACTTTCTGGTGAGAGACTGGTGCTCTACAGAGATTTCCTGGAAGGCCATCGGAGGTGCAGTACCATGCTCAGGCGTGGGTGCTCGGTGGTTCTTGCAGGAAAGGTCATTGAGATCCTTGATGAGTCCATGAAGCTTCAATGCCTGCGGTTCACTCCTTGGGAAGGCCTGAGCCCTTGTGATGAGTCCGAACTCATGACAGTTGTGGTGCCCCGCTTGCGTCAGCGCTCATTCAAGGCGGAGATTGGGCATGAGATCACCCTGTTTGGGACAATCACAGACAAGAGTGAGGCTCCTGTCTGGGTATTCGATGATGATGTGCTGCTGGTGCATCGCACCCAGTTCGACAACTCCCTTCCTATTAATGCGCTACATCTGTTTTCCGGAGCATTTTGTGGCTGGTCGAGAGCTTTGTCATGGATTGGAAAGAATGTCCCGGAACTCAAGACAGGCACCCAGACATTTGTGGATGCTGATCCAGTTGTGATGTCTGCGTGGGCACATCAACATCGGCAGATCCACCATTCTGGCTTGACAAGAGCAGATGCTACATGGGATCCGTCCAACGAAATTGGCATATGTTCGTCTGTGGCTGATTGCACTGTGCTGAGGCATTGCCAATGGACAACAAATGCTATCTCCACGGCTTCCCCACCATGTGTAAGCTGGTCCCGAGGTGGGAAGTTGTTTGGCATGGACTGCCCACAAGGCTTCGCGGCTTTTGAGACGATTCTGCTGATTGAATTGCAGCAACCGATGCTTGTGTTTTTTGAATGTGCGGATGAAACGGTCTCGCACCAGCATTTTCCGCTGCTACAGAATGCACTTAAGCTCATCGGGTATGTACAGATTTGGCAGCAAATCGTTCCTCTCCACCAGCTCACCCACAATGCAAGAACGAGGTGGCTCGCAGTCTGGAAAAGATTTGACATGTCTTGTCTCCCGTATGGGTCCACTCTTGTGCCGCGCGCTCCGCCCCTTACTCCGTGGCATTCCAGTTTGAATCATTTCTGGATTCCTGATGACATTCGCCAACAATTGCAGTTAGGGGCTGATGCTATCACCTGCTATGGGGACCCTCAGCTTCTGCCACCAGCGAAGCGAGCAAGATTGTCCACCGGGTCACCTCATGAAGTGTTGCTCAAACGGGTGCCTGCCTACAATGAGGCCCTACCAACGCTTTGTTGTACTTACACCAAGCAGCACAATCTCGAGGCATGTCACCTTGCTGACAAGGGCATTTTCGCATCCATTGTGAAAGAAGGGGACGGTTTTGCTTTTCTCAATCCACTGTCCTTTGTGCCACTGTTTGGCGCGACAGACAAAGTTTCATTGCCGTGTGATGTTTCCCAAGCATTCCACCTTCTTGGAAATGCTATTGCACAACCGCATGCTACTTTAGGCCTAGCAGTCGGTCTCATTGCCTTGTCGAAAGCCCAGGTCCAAGCACTCGATCTTGTCCAAAGGTCATGGCATGATCGCCTCACAGCTGACAATGCAATTGTCCATCGCTCAGGTGATTGGATTGAGGTCCACAGACGTGATGATTTCCTTCGCTCGATCGATTTCAGGTTTTACCTGCTCCCTGACCCAAGTGTTGTGTATGTTTGCCTTCGCACACAGCTTTTGCTGAAAGAGAGCCATCGTGACACAAGTGTTCCATGCACTTCGACCCTCCTCCAGGCGCTAAAGCAGATCCTCACGATTGATGAGTGTGACCCTGCTGCCATCAGGTTCATTTCGGACACCGAGCAAGACCTTTCGGAACAGACTGCCGAAACAGCACTCCAGGTTACAGATACCATTCGTTGCCCATGGCATAATGAACCTTTTGCTCTGTTCTGCCGAGGTGAGGGTCGCTTTGTTGAGACAGTTCCTCCCCCGGAGGAGTTGCCCCCAACAGTGCCCTTTTCGGTTGTCGAAGATGGTCCAGTGAATGTCATCGATTGCCAGCCGCTCTCTTTTGATGAGCTTCGTAGGCATGAATCGTTCCAGGAAGCCCTGACATGCTTTGAGCACCTGTTCAAAGTTCTGCAGGAGTCAACAGGACCCCAACAGCTCGCTGCACTCGCATGGGAGCACCCGCCTCTTCTGTTTGCTGTTACGATCGACCAACAAGATCCGCTTGGTTGTGTCCAGACTCAACTTGACCTTCTCTTTCCCGGCAAGTTCTCGGTCTTTCTTGGCCCTGGTCGTCTCAAGCAAATTGCTGATGGTCCCTTTCTTTTGGTTCGTAGCCGAAACCACAACGATGATGCCCTTGTTGCTTTGGTTGAGATTTCGCCTCGCACTGTGGTTCACCTCAAAGCTGTTCCCAAACAAATTTGCGGACAGTGCAAGATTGTCACACCGAAAGGGGACTTTATGCTGGTGACCCACAACTTTCGTGCCATCACTTCGCCCACCTTCTGCTTCACAGGTGACATCTTGGTGATCGACAGGCTGCAAGACCGCCCTGTCTTTGCAGGGGGCCACCACAACTCAGAACGGCCGGTCGCTCAACTTCCAGCCGGTGCCACTTTCCCACAGAGAGTTGCTTTCGCTGTTGAGACTCATGGCTGGGCTGCCTCAGATGAGCTTGAGAATGCCTTCAAGATTTTGAGGACTTTGGAGCCAAACTTTATCCAAGCCTGTGGTTTCATGAGGTGGGACCCCGCGCTCAGTGAGTTTGATGAGGGTGCATTTGAGGAAGTTCATTTTGCCCCTCTGGGCTGCACATGCCTCCTCTTGCTTGTGGGCTGTCATTGGGCTCTCATCCAGGTGATGCGAACGACCCATGAAACCAGGATCCGTGTAGCCGGCCTTCCGCAACAATGTGCTCAGCGTGCAGCTGTCATCACATGTAGAATGTTAGACATTGCTCCGCACAGGGCCGCCTTGGACTTTGACTTCCTTCGGCCACCGGAGCATATGTGCGGCTGGACCATCATGTTCCAGCTCTACACCAAAGCCGAGATTCTGGATCACCTTCCTGACGCCAGCTACTTTTGGGGCATCCTAACCATTGAGGAACGCAGACAAGTCAATGATATGCTCATTGCCTCGCAACAGCACTGGACCCAAGCCAGAGCCGATCCGTCCTGCGTGGTTTTGCCTTCCAGTTGAGGCTCGACTTCTTTTGCCAGCTTGCCCTACGAGGACGTGACAATGATCCGGTCACCACAATCCCCCTTGACCCAGCCTTCCCAAGAGGCAATCCAAATACCGGCGCCACATCATCCAGTCTTCCGGGACGCCCCCTGAGTGTGAGGCTGCCCCTCACCGATGCCACAGCCCAAACAGAACAAGGCAACATCATTCTTCAGAGACTCCAAGCTACCAGCCCCAACCCGGGGTGGCTTTTCTCTGATGCCCTCGACTACCACTGTGAACTCCTGCGATTGCACATTCCAGCTGCCCAATTTGCACCACCAGCTCGATGGCACCCAGAGACCAGTGAGCTCAGCTTCCTGAATGACTTGACCTGTCGTGCGGCATCCTTTGAGAGCACTATTGTCCCTATCCTTTGGGAGCAGCACTGGATCATGTGCGAGCTCTATCGTGATGGGTGGGATTTCAACTTCATTGTGAGAGGTCCTGATGCTCTTCAACCTCTATGCAACCAGCTTGCCACGGATGTTGCTGCAAAGGTGATGCATGATGGCGCAGTCCTGCATGTCACGTTCATCCGCACGAATCCACCACCCCACCTGTGTGGTTGGACGATGCTCTTTGACCTGTACCGGAGGTTCGGAACCTTGATGCCTATGCCCAGTTCACGCTTGCTCAATGACCTTCGCACTAGTGCCTATGCTCCATGGCATGTTTGGGTGCATGAACAAGCAGTGCGCCAATGGGGTGCTGACATTGATCCTACGCTGCGTACCTTTGCTTCCTCAGGCCTCTTGTTGCACCTCGGTCGCATCGATCAAGCAAGAATTCCACAGCAGTACCAAGCAGCTGGAGCAGTCAGCAGCTCGACACCGACAGATCCTGCAGTTGATCCCCTCACGGTGCATGACCCTTGGGCCAAGAAGGCACCTCCTTCCCGCTGGGAGGATCTCCGTCTTGGAACAACTCATCCCTTCCACAATGAGAAGGGTGAACAATTGGATCAGCTTCACGGTTTGCAGGCGACGGGGCATAATGGTGGCATTGTCTTGACAACAAAACAACACTTGTCTGAGCTGATCAAGTTAGGAACGAAGCATCCTTTCGTCGCCCTCCTGCCTCAGCTGGACGATTCCTCGAAAGCAGCTCTTGGTGTTGCAGCCCACGGCCCATTTGAGGTGATCTTGTATGATAAAGCTGCTGGACAAACTTATAAGAGAATCACGCATGCGGTGGCCATCTTCGGCAAATTCAACTTCACCTTAAAAGACCCCGCAGCGGAATTTCACACCTCTGAAATTGCAGAGCTTGCGCTTGAGTTTGACAGCCGCTTGACACAGAAGGCTGAGTTTGACCATGCTGCGGCAAACCCAGTGCTCTTCTTTCGAAACTTCATTGCCAAGCACATGCCTTCGCTCAAAGAACAGATCACTGTGTACGGGTTCAGACACAATCGTCACCCATCAGCGACCAAAGAGGATGATCAGCTGCAAATTGTTCTGAAGGTACCCAAGTCAGCTCGACCCGAACTCTTACAACT